AGGAGGTAAAAGTATTTCGTGAACGATAAATAGGGAATAGGTCCCGGGATAGTAGAGTAGGCAGCCTCGTCGATTCATACTGACTCAACAACCAGTCCCAGGTAGCAGACAATAAATCATTAACAGCTGATCGTGGCCTCGTGTGATCTCGTATTATAAGTGTGAACGCGTGTGGTACTGTGTATGCGTAAGCTCGCGGCGTGCGTAATCGGCGTACCCCAGGTGCGTGATCATAACGTGAGCGGCCAGCAGGCGGCCAGCACTGCGCAGAGCGGCGCAAGAGTGGGTATCGCGTGTGGAGCTGTATGCGTGTGTGCGCGCACGTTCACTACGTGTATAATACAGGTACGCGATCCTAACGTGAGTGGTCAGTGTTGAGTGAGTGCCGCGCAGAGCTGTGTGTGGGTATGCGCGTACGTAATTAACCATGCCTACTACGCGGACCCGCAGGGGAGGGGAATCCTCGAGCGACGGCTCTCACCCCATGGGTGAAGAACCCAACAGCGGTTCGCCTAGTAGCGAGGGGGCGAGTAATGAGGTTAACCCGGCCATTAGCGGTACAGAGGGAGGGATCTCGGGGGCCAGCGACCCCTACAGCTGTACAGCCACCACGGTTTAAAACGCACCCCCCACACACACATATCGGCAAGGCAGGCAGGAGTCCGCAACTACGAACGGAGGGAGAAGCCAGGGGGGGTGGCTGATTGGCATAACGGGTGTACTCGGGGACCGCCGCCGCGCGGCCGCCCGCGGCGAGCCCTTTGTTATGGAAACCGCGGCTGATTAGCATAGCAAAGGCGCCCGTGGGCCACCGCCGGCGCCGCTGCCAGCGTGCGCCCATTGTTAGGAAAACCAGGAATGCGACTGAACGAGTACAGCGACCTGATTGGCCGAGAGGCCCCTCAGGTCGGAGGCCTTTGATGTAGGTTCACGATAAAAGGAGGGTGCAGAGAGGTAAACCGGTCGCTTGCTCCAAAAGTCAGCCCTCGGGACGGTCTCCAGCTCAGCCACTCGAACGTCCGTGTGATGCATCAAGGTTCGCAGTGAGGACGAGACCCATGGAACGCCGTGGGCATCTAACCGTGAGTAAGAGGGAAGGGAGTATTGGGATAGAGGCTAGAGGAACCAGAACCGCTAAGAACCTATCAAATCAGATAAATCAGGTACAGACCCTTGGACGATAGCGTAGACCTGCCTCGCCGATCCATACCGACCCAACAGTAAATCGCAGTTGGCCGATAATAAATCATTAACCCATCGCAGCCTCGTGTGGTTTTACGGGTGGGTGAAAGCGCGTGGTGCTGTGTGTAGGTGTGTGCGCTCGTAACGTGGGTGGTCGGTGCGTCCACGGGTACCCGCTCCGTCTGTCGCCGCGGAGACTTGTGCGGTGTGAGGGCTCACACCCACCGTAAATACCTGTTCCGCGGTCCCTTTAAATGAGCGTTCTTGCCCGCTCGCGGCGGCCGCGCGTGTACGAGCAACGTCATTCGCCCTCCGACCCCTGACCCCCCGTTCAGAGGGTGTGATTGGCGGAGAGGCAACGCAGTGTTTACAGGCGTATGGGAGCTGGCGACGAACCATGCCTCTCACGCGGACTCGCGGTGGGGCGAACCAGGGAGGGGAGCCATCGGACGACAATCCCTACCCCGCGAGCGATGAGCCCAGCGGCGGCAGTGGCTGTTCGCATACCAGCGAGGAGTCGGGGAGCGGCGGGACCTCTGCAGCCGGTGCGCAGCAGGGAGAGACCTCGGGGGCCAGCGGCCCTAACAGAAACATTATTCTTTGGGGGTGTTTTTCTGCTAAGGGGACAGGACAACTTCACCGCATCAAAGGGACGATGGACGGGGCCATGTACCGTCAAATCTTGGGTGAGAACCTCCTTCCCTCAGCCAGGGCATTGAAAATTGGTCGTGGATGGGTATTCCAGCATGACAATGGCCCAAAACACACGGCCAAGGCAACAAAGGAGTGGCTCAAGAAGAAGCACATTAAGGTCCTGGAGTGGCCTAGCCAGTCTCCAGACCTTAATCCCATAGAAAATCTGTGGAGGGAGCTGAAGGTTCGAGTTGCCAAATGTCAGCCTCGAAACCTTAATGACTTGGAGAATATCTGCAAAGAGGAGTGGGACAAAAGCCCTCCTGAGATGTGTGCAAACCTGGTGGCCAACTACAAGAAACGTCTGACCTCTGTGATTGCCAACAAGGGTTTTGCCACCAAGTACTAAGTCATGTTTTGCAGAGGGGTCAAATACTTATTTTCCTCATTAAAATGCAAATCAATTTATAAAAAAATTTACATGCGTTTTTCTGAAATTTGTTGTTGTTATTCTGTTTCTCACTGTTTAAATAAACCTACCATTCAAATTATAGACTGATCATTTCTTTGTCAGTGGGCAAACGTACAAAATCAGCAGGGGATCAAATACTTTTTCCTTCACTGTAGAAACCCGTAGACTTGTAGAAACCTATTGACGAACACTGCAGTGGAGCAGTAGCGCATGCTGGGAGCAAGGAGTTATTGGAGTAGAATGAGCAGGCTGGTTGCAACGGTGGTTGGCCTCACTCGGCTCGCTCGCTGTGTGGCTCAGAGAGACGCTGGACCAGGACCTCTCTTTTAGAGCGACGGTGAACAATGAAATAAAATACTTAAAATGTTTCATTGTCGTTATTGACATTGAGACACTGCCTAGAATGTGAACCTAAATTCTATGTGCACAAACACAATGCACACACCTGTTGGGATTTATCTCCCTTGCATGGTGTAAAGCAGGACCTCGGTTTTATTTTACGCTTTCTGTATATTTGGAGTTTGCGTCTCTCTCTCAGCGTGGTCGCGTGGATTTTTCTCCGGGTCCTCCGGTTTTTCCCTTCACATTTAGAATCAACAATCACGTGTTTAAGAATACTTGGCGACATTACATTTGCACGTGATAAGCCACTTCATTGTGCTATCATTTATGCCAGGTTGCTTCTGAAAAAGAGCTACAAAGCTGAGTGGGTTTTACCTGGTAAAATAAAAAGTAGTTGCTGTAGTTGGAGATATCTCATGATGTTCTGTAACTCCAAGTCGGTATAATTACCCCGACGTGACGAGTTACTTGAGTGGCATTGTGGCTTCCGAGATGGAATTTGTCTGTAGACTCCCGTGACCCATCCTGGAATCGAGCCTTTTCCTTGCACGTGTGAATCTATCACCAACTCTACCTGCCTACATCACCCACTGCTGGCGATGTCACCGTCTCTCACCTTGACCGAGACTGCAGATCCCCGTGCCACTCAATCACAGCCCCACCCACTGCTCAATTCACCTGCGTTGTTGTTTCACATTCGCACGCACGGTTATTGAACACGCATGCACATGCAGCAACACAAACGCCAATCGGCGTTTGCCATTAAGTGGCAGTGATATCTCTACGCTGCTTGGTGATGTTATCATAGCTATCCATTTCCCCACACACGTTAACCCATTTGTGCCATCGTTGTCACGTCATGAAATGAGTGAATCGAGTCTTGATTTCTTCGTATAGCAGTGCGGACACTATAGAGGCACCTCTGAGACACCTTCAAAGTGGAGACCTCTGGTCCACGGGCACAATAGATGGCAGTCGTTTTCCCCACACACTCTGCACATGAGAGTAATGTTCGTTGTACAAAAGCCAACTGGTGATGTTTTTTTACTTAGGAGAGATGGAATTTAGTCAAGTTAAGTGCCTACATTCAATGTGATGGGTATTTTGTGTGCATTTATTGGTGACTGTACATAGCTGTTTAGATTCAGCTCTAAATTTACAAACTAATGGTATATTAGTGTGAAATAGCATCTCAAATACAAATATCATACAGATGGTAAACATTTCACAAACAAAACACTAATTTTATTTAATCCAATTATGTATTATGTATTGTACATGAATTAATATCCACACAGGTTGCTCACTCAACATCATTGTCATCATCACAATCGTCGCCACAATCATCGTAGCACATTTAGATGGAGTTCCAAATTTTAAGGCATTTCCCCGATGGCAATTCCAATCGTCCCCTCTCAATCAAAATCTTAATTGGCATCTTTTGCAAAAAATCTGTGCCCAATAAACATGGCACGGCCAGAACAGTCGAAACCTAAATGTATCCCGTTACACACACCACCCCAACTTTAATTGTTGCAAGCACGCGAGCCAAATGTCTCAACTGCCCCCATTTGTCACTTAAAACACGTAGCATCCACTGGTTCCAAATTTTGGGCGAGGTTGGCAACGAACGAAAGTTTCCAAGAAAAGAGGGTCGCTGAAGCCCCGTATCGACAATCACTCAAATCTGTACCCCTTGAACAAGTGCCACCACATCCGACGAACCCGGCGCGGTACCCAAAACTCGATGAACCAACGCGCCCCATACAGCATTACCGTGCGATTCGTATGAAGGGAAATTTACAGTGTGTGGTGTCGCGGATGTGTGATGGGACGGATACGGCCGTGTATTAAATGTGTCACGACTCGCCTGTTGGTCCCGAAATGGGAAAAATCCGCGGTTGTAGTCTCCAGTCATCCTTGGGAAGACGCCTCACCGTCTCCAGCAGTTCCGTGCGAAGCGTCTTCGACGCCCATACTCGTAGCTTGTCCGCAGGGTGGCGAGGCAGGCTCGCGAGCGGCCATGCGGCCACTGCTGCCAGCGACCCCGGTCCCTCCAACTCCGACATAACCCCGGCCGCGCCGGTGCACACCAGAGGCTGTCATCACCACCGCTGGTTCGTCGCGAAGCCTCAACCATTCCACGTGCAGCCGGCGTCGTGAGCTCGGAGTCGGCAACCCCGGCGCCTCATTGGCGTCCAGCTCCGCTCCTGGTGTAGCAGGAGACACAGCTGCGCCGCCGGCCACTGCTGGTGTCGCAGGCTCGTGCGGCTGCTGGTCCGATCCCGTCGACGCCTCTTGTATCGTTTTCGAACTCCTTTGCGAGCGCCATCATATTGGCCTCCCACTCAGCCATCACAGTCCTTCATACGCGAGGCGGGCTTGGTTCATCTTCGTTGTTCGGGTCGTCCTCCTCCCGCGGAGGCTCCCCACCATCCATGTCCATCGGGGGAACGGGAGCCTCCAGCCCCGACGGGGTTATCACGTCCGCATCGCTGCTGTCGGTCGACGAGCCCGCCGGTACGTTCTTCTTTTTCGTTGCTTTCTTTGACATGTCGGCGCGGTTCTTTTGATAACTTCTAACACCAGTTGTAGCGCTCATACCGACACGACAGCTTCTTTGAATTTCCTCAGTTCTTTATTCAATCATATAGTTCCACATCTCTCCCGTGGACACAATGTTCCTCCGTACACTCCAACCCACAACTCTCCGTCAACATCACTCAATGTCCCTCCGCTCACTCGCTGCGCTCCACTGGCCTTGCTCGCTCTCCTCTGCTCCTCCAGCGACTCTCTCTCTCCAGCTCGGCTGCTCTTTATTAACTCCTTCGTCCCACTCCATCGTAACTCTCCCTCGTCTCACTCCGTCGTAAATCTCCACTGCTACCCTAGGCTGTACTCGCTCTATCCACTGCTACCCTATACTGTACTCTATCTACTGTTACCCTATGCTATACTCACTCTATCCGCTGCTCTGTCTCCCGATTTAAGGTTTTTATTTCCTTTCAAGCAAGAACAGGCCTCTGCCTTGTACAGCCAAAATAACAGCAAAAGACCGGAAAAACCACATGAACGTAACGGGAACAGGCGATCCTTTTTACAGCCGATGCACCGAGTACGCCGCGATCGAGTTCCCCTCTTTCACACCCTTTACTCAGAAAAGACAAGAAGTCACCGTCGCAACGGAGGAAAGGGGGGGGGGGTACGTTCATCCACCCATTCTCGTCGAAGGGGGGGGGGGGGTCGTTTCGAATTCAGCCTATCCCGCACTTGGGTGGCGGCCATCGCCACTTCGCGTTTGTGGCTGCTCTGCCCGTTGTCGCCCGCTCCACCTCCACCACCCTCTCTAACAGCCCCCTGGCTAGTCGGTATACCTCGGGAGGCGACATATAGACGCCCTTAATCAGCTTCTGGCGCGCCGTCCACAGGGCCTCCCGCTGCTCTGTCTCTCCAACCGTTCGTCTCTCGTCCCAGGCACCAACTCCCATTTCACTCCACCATCTCACCCTTTATCCCCGAACCAATTACCCTTAATTTATTAGGTCATCCCCCGCGACACCACTCGCCCCCAGCCCCCGGTGCCACGTGGCGTTGTTATTCCAGACACGCCAGCGCCAATTTCAGACAACCCCTCTCATCCAATCAACGCCCTGCATTCTCAATTACCCCCGGCCACCTGCAGCCCCCTTAACTATCACACCACCGTAATTTGCACAAGAACAACAGTTAGCCAATCAGCGCCCTGTGTCCTCGTTTGCCCTCACTGTCTGCCACGTGCACGCATACCAACCCAGCGTTTGATGCGTGTTTCTCAAGCCCTACACAGGTAAGAACAACAGGTTCCACACTGCCCACCAGGGATTATTTGTCTGCCTGTCTGTCATGGTGACGACAATTGCGTGGGGGGGGGGGGGGCCTTGCCAAGTGATGTGTGTTCGGTCGAGCTCACGGACACACCACGGCACTCTGCCACGTGAGTACTTTGTACTATAGAGTCACTATATATACTACAATAGAGTCAGAATGTACTACTGTACTACTGTACACTCGATATATACTGCCATAGAGTCAGCATGTACTATTGCAGAATCCATATATACTGCTATACAGTCACTATCTACTATTGTAGAGTCGATATACTGCTATAGAGCTGATCACACGAATGCGCTGTCAACTGAGGCGAGGAGTCTGGTGCTGTCTGCGTAGCGATGGTGTTTGACGCCAAAGCTCTTAATGAGGCGGCCAATAGGAGATGCGTAGGCCGTTAACAGCACAGGGCCGAGGTCAGAATCGTGAGAGACTCTCCATGGGAGTTCAGTTTTCCGCAGATATAGACTCCCCGCTTTGACCGAGAAACTCCAAGCAGCCTGAGCAGTCGGACGTCACCTAACATAGGGCTGGACCGCTGATAATGGAGTGAAATTCCGGGAAGCCAATGAAGGGAAGGGAGTGGCTAACAGTGATCATGGTGAAGATATGTCAAGGCTCATCTGGTGATGCAAGTTAAATATCTGGCCATGTCTAACATCATTGACGAGTTGATCATTAAATGGGCCTCTACCCCACTTCACAAACACGGATTGTATTTTTATGCTCTTATTATATTTATCACGATAAAGCAATTTTCCTTCATTTAACGTTCAAGTGTTCACACCTGCTCGTAATCCAAGTGCATTGTCTTCGGTTAGGCTGCGCGTTGAAGAACGCTCTGCTGACATCGTAAGGAGTCACAGTAGAAGTAACTGTTGTATTTCGTATTGAACGCCTCTAAATGGCCACTTTAGCACCTGGAGAATTCTTGAGAGACGTGACAGTCAACACGCAGCCCAACCCAGACAACCACACGTGGAGTATTTGCATTTGATGGGACTTAGTGCACCTCATTCATCCAGTAGACGATAACAAAAAAACATCTGGAACTTCAGGGACATCTGAAAAATGTCATGCAGACTTCAAGAAATATCAGGCAAGACGCATGGACACTATGTATGTTGCATTTACAATATCTGTGTTTTTTTAGGCAGTCTCGATTACTTTTGAGACGATAGACTATACCCTCATTTTGTCCTCAAATAGCCTGAAACATGTCACGTGATTTGTTTGCTTTTGTTTAAAGTGCAAAATGGAATGACAACTCATGCTTAAAATATTCGCATCGTAGCTGTTCAAGAGATAAGGTGCTCACGTTTGGAATGCCGCTGAGCCTTGTGTCAGTGTTTGCTGAGTCATTCCACTTATAGTTGGTCTCCAAAGGTCGCTGGTATTTTAACGTTAAAGCTGGCTGTCAGTCCTCAACGTAAAACAAACCTCTTATTTAACTTCTAGATTTATAATCATTATATGATGACACTGCGTTGGCAGTCGTGCATAAGCAAAGATAAACTATCAACACATTCGTAAAAAAATAGCCAGATAAAAGAAAACGCGTAACTGGTGACGTTTCAGGCATTGGCTCTTCTTAAGAGCATATACCAAATGTGTTTAAGAAGAATGGCAATAGCTATAAACGTTGCGTATTGTATATACAGAGCAGAATGCAACATGTAACTCTGTCTATAGATCCCACGACTACCACCAACCCCTACTGGCCGGCGTGGTGAAGTATGGCCAAACAACCCCCAAGATCAGCACGGCCTGTGGACACTAAATTATTTATTCTGAGTTACTGCGTGCGTTGAAATGGGTGGCTCGTAGATGAATAGCTCAGTCCATAGCATAAATCCCCAACTTTACCGATCTCTTGAGACATATTATTGGTTCTTTTGGCAAAGTCACGTAGAAAAAAAATAATAAAATAATATAAATATAAAAGAATAAAAATTCTCACGACGTTTCGACTGCAACACAAATAATCATCATCAGGTGTGAAATCCACGGCAAGACAATTTGAAAAAAGTGGCGGTTGTTCCTAATGTCAGCACCATAGTGATTTGCCAGTTAGCCAGATGGACGAGTCCATCTATGTTCGGAAAAGAGGAGGGGGGAGCAGAAAATGGAACGCGGTCTGAAAGTCACCGTAAGCTTGAACACAATCAATTAAGACCCGAAATGGTTTATTAAATCCTTCCAATGATTGCTAAGCCAGGAATCCATCTTCTCGGTTGAAATTGTCTCTGTGCTTGTATATGTGAATAGCCACATGAACGAACCTCTCATGGTAGCCAGATGGCTTGCAAAGAACCTCTGTCTTGGAGAAATCAATGTCATGTGAGCCCACTAAATTATAACAGTGATCTGCCTCGGCCGAGGTGTTGGTCCTTCCGTGTTTTAGGTCTGCTTTGTGCTCACGGATGCGGTCAGAGACATGTCGTTTGGTTTCTCCAATGTAACTGTAATAAAAGACTCCGTCAGGCACTGCTGGTCTCCGCTTGTCTTTTATTCAGGTTCTTCTCCGCACCCCGCTGGTCTCCTCCACGGACCAGCGTCGTCTCGCGCGCGCCCCGCGCACGCTCCCTCTCGCGTGCCACGCACGCTCCTCCGTTAGCTCCTCTACTCCCGCACTCCGCACATCGCTGGCCGACGGCGTGCTGAGGTCCTTCGGCCACGTGGCCGATGGCGCGGATCTCTCTCTCACCACCCAACATGACTCAGACTCTTAACGTCCCCGACTGCCCCGATCTCTTCCGGGCTCCCACTGAAATCCATTCCCCCCACGTGACCCTGACTCCTCCCCATCCGGATCGTCAGATCCGGCCTTCCCATACTACCCCGCTGGCTCCGCCCCCATTCACCTCGCCTCCCATTGGAGCCGAGGTGAACGGTGGCCCCTCCCACACGCCCCAGAGCCCAGCAGCAAACCCATTTATGCTCGCATTACATGACCCCCCCCCCTGATGATAAAAGCAGCTATCCTGGCTGCAATAGGACAAAATAATGCGAGCAACAGCATCACAATCAGGAATCACCAGACACAACGGAGAGTATAACAACACAATTAACGAAAAGGAAGAGATTTGGAGCGAGTGCGGGTCACCGGCCCGTCCTTCATGAGAGGCGGCGCTCTCAAAGGTCGCAGTCCCGACAGGGTTTTAGGAGCGGCGGAACCGGAACCATCCGCCGCTGGTGGAGCCCTGTCCGTCCCAGCACCCCGTTCCCCAGAGAGGTCCGTAGTCGGGGCCCCCTGCAACTGCAACCGCGGTGGGGTTGGAGGGGCAGCGGGGCCAAGTGTCCCCGTCGCCGTGGTAGGCCCACCCGGTGCAGGAATCCCTGTGTCCGGCAAGATCACAGCCGGCCCATCTTACACGGTTGACTCTCCGGCGTTGACGTCGCGTCCCTGGCCGGGGACTCCGGCTGAAGAGGTGGGCGAGGGCGACTCCGACAGTCCCGCGCGAAGTGTCCAAGACGCTCGCAGCGGTAACACGACGAGTCGGCCCGCCGCCCGGCTCCCCCCCCCGCCTCGGCGATCCCTCAGCGGTGGCCCGGAGCGCGACTCCGCTCCCCCTCGAGGAACCCACTGGCCCACCGCCGCAGTGAGATCGCAGGGCCCCCACTTGTCCAGCACGAAGACGGCCTTCGACGGAGTCCACCCGACGGCGTCTCCCTCCACGGTTGGGCTCCCCGTCCAGGCGGTCATCTGCGCCCAACGGCGCAAGTTGAACTGCGCATCGAGGCACTTGGCTGCCATCCGGGAGGTCAGCTGCTCATGGCCGCACACCGGCAGCGGAATGCCTAAGTCCTTGGACAGCTCCAACATCTTACCCACTATCAAGGGCACCAACAAGTCGGGCTCCATCTCTGGATATGCGGCCATGGCCAGCTCAAGCACAGCGCCCCGGAAAGCCACAGGCGATTCTTCCATTGCCCGTTGCCTCTGGATGAATCTGCAGTGTGCGTCGTCCGGAGGCTCGTACGCTTCCGCCATTTCGTCGAACGCCCCTTTCAGCGTCGCCTTCTTCGCGGCTGCGTTGGAGCGGAAGAATTTCAAAGACTTTTCATCCAGGAGCGTCGGCAGAACTTCCAAGGCCTCCGCATCCGTCCACTTGGCGGATCAAACGGCCGACTCAAAACGCCACGCAAATGCGCTCCAATCTCTTCCAACTGAGAATTATTTAATCGTCGTCAGGCGATGGCTGCGAGTCCCCGAGCTGCTGTCTTCCGATGCAGGTGTCCCATGCGGCGGCGACAAGATGGCGGCTTCCCGCCGTGGCGGCAAAAAAATGGTGGCTTCCCGCCGTTCGGCTGCGACCACACCCAAGATGGCGGCGTCCTGCCCCGTGTCGGAAAGGGCGGAAGCCTCGCAGAGGCCCCAATGGCGGACGGCTTGGCCCCACCCAAAGGCTCCCCGCTTGAAGGCCCGCTGCGTGGCTGTCCCGGCATTGTCGCTGGCGCGACCAGGGTGACTAAATCCAGCAGAACGGCCCGCAGCGAATCAAGCTGGTCTGCCACGTGTCGCCAGCTGTCCTCGGCGCCCGTCGACGCAGACGGCCCAGCCGCCGCGACGACATCTTGTACTCCTGTCGTGTCGCTCGCCGCCACTTCGCTCACGCCCTCCATGGTCGGGACCGCCACCGCCGGAGGAAGTTCGTCTTCTGAAGATGGTGCAGGTATATTCTTTTTCTTGAGATGTTTTGACATTTCGTTCCACTTCTGACACCAGTGTAATAAAAGACTCCGTCAGGCACTGCTGGTCTCTGCTTGTCTTTTATTCAGGTTCTTCTCCGCACCCCGCTGGTCTCCTCCACGGACCAGCGTCGTCTCGCGCGCGCCCCGCGCACGCTCCCTCTCGCGTGCCACGCACGCTTCTCCGTTAGCTCCTCTACTCCCGCACTCCGCACACCACTGGCCGACGGCGTGCTGAGGTCCTTCGGCCACGTGGCTGATGGCGCGGATCTCTCTCTCACCACCCAACGTGGCTCAGAATCTTAACTTCCCCGACTGCTCCGATCTCTTCCGGGCTCCCACTTATATCCATTCCCCCCACGTGACCCTGACTCCTCCCCTTCCGGATCGTCAGATCCTGCCTTCCCATACTACCCCGCTGGCTCTGCCACCATTCACCTCACCTCCCATTGGAGCCGAGGTGAACAGTGGCCCCTCCCACACGCCCCGCAGACCAGGCTCCGCCCCCCAATACCCCGGGCCGTGTGATTGGACCAGAGCCCAGCAGCAACCCCATTTATGCTCGCATTACATAACTACTACCACAGAGGCAACTAAGTTTGTAAACGCCAGGGTACTGTATGTCCGGAATCACATCTTTTACAGACGGAACCAGATCGTGGATTTTATGTAATGTGTTGAATCGGACCTGGATCTTGTGTTTATTCAAGATTTTGGAGATCTTTTTTGTGATCCCCGCAATGTAGGGTAAGGTGATGGTTTTGAATGGCTCCTCAAGAGGGTCGTCCTTCATGGTTGGAGTGATGGCTTTGCGGATTGTGTAGTCGGAGTAACCATTAGCCTTAAGAGCTTGGCGTACGTGTTTGAGTTCACTGGCAATGTGTTCATGGTCGGAGATGCATTGGGCTCTATGATATAGAGTCTTGATGAGGGAATTTTTCTGGGATGGATGGTGGTGGGAATCCGGTTTCAGGTAAGCATCCGTATGGGTAGCTTTCCTGTAGACAGAGTGGCTCATTGAACCATCAGGTCTATTTGTATTAGGACATCCAAAAAAGGTAGCTTGACATCTTTTCGACTTCCATGGTAAATCTGATGGCTGGGTGTATGGAATTTATGTGGTCGAGGAATTGGTCTAGAGCAGGCCGGCCATGTGGCCAGATGACAAAAGTGTGATCTATGTACCTCTTCCATAAGATTGGGCGCAAAGTGGCAGTCTGCGTGGCGTCAGTCTCAAATTTATCCATGAAAACGTTGGCTACAACTGGGGATGGGGGGAGCCCATTAGGGTGCCCTCAGTTTGTTTGTAGAAAGTTCCATTCCAAGTGAAGTATGTATTGGTTAAGCAGTGTCTCACCAATGGGGGTACCTCAGTGTTCAGTCCTTGATGAACCAAGTCTTCAATGATTACGATGGTGTCAGGTACAGGAACTTTGATGAATAAGGAAACTACATCAAAACTGACAAGCAGGTCGTCTGGGGACAGGGAAATACCCTTGATTGTCGATACACGCCACGTGTATGTGTGTGTACACTAGAAGCCGACCGAAATTCGGTGTCGGTTTTGGCTCCGAAACTTGGCAAATGGTCTCTTTCGGCAAACTTTGGTTTCGGCCGAAAGTCGATTTTTTTACTTTTGGTTTACTTTCGGTTTCGGCCAAAAGTATTTTTTTTACTTTCGGTCTGGTTTCGGTTTCGGCCGAAACTGATATTGACTTTCGGTCGTCATTCGTCAACCGAATATCTAAATTAAGAATATAACTCAAGTGCTACGTCTATCACTCTCACTATCGGCCGGTCAGTCGGCGCTAGGGAATCCTATGCTTTAGGCTGCAAACACACACACGTCAGCAGCAACAGCTTGGGAGCGAGGTTACAGCCGCAACCATGGTCTGCTAATCTATAAACGACCGGTCAACAGACGGCAGCCGCATCTCCATCCGTGGGTGGAGTCTCTTTGGCGGGACGACAACAAAGTGCCTCTGTTGTCTGTTCCCAGCCGCCTGCCCGCCTTGGCTTATGTGTTGCTTTCGCTTCAGTCTGCACGCGTGTTGATACCGAGATTCGAAGTCTGACAATTAGAGGCCGACCGAAATTCGGTTTCGGTTTTGGCGCTGAAAGTTGGCAAATGGCTTCTTTCGGCATAGTTTCTATTTCGGCCAAATCCAAAAAGTTAACTTTCGGCCGAAAGTCAATTTTTTTCTTTCAGTTTCGGCCGAAACCAGAAATTCAGTTTCGGTCGGCCTCTAGTGTACACGCCACGTGTGTGTGTGTGTACACACAATGTGTGTGCGTGTACACAAGTCGCCGTGACTGCTGTGCAAGCGTCGTCGGTCTGTCCTCACCATAGATGGACGCTCACCGACTCTGGACACAAACTCAGCCAACGACTGCCTCCAGATTTCCTCGGATCTCAGGATGGTGATGCTGAGCTGTGTCCCCCAGCGTCGCCGCCATCACCCACACCGCTTTGATTTCTGGGATCAAGCCCTGTGCTCGAAGAGCTTCTCGTCGGGTCAGCACTACTGGGAGGTGGACGTGGGGAGCGCGTGGGGGTGTTGGGTTGGAGTGGCGTACGGGACGATCCCACGGAGAGGGAGTGGTGTTGAGTGCTGCCTGGGAGTGAGTGACGTCACCTGGTTTCTACAGAAACGTGGCGACAGGTTCTCAGTGCTGCATGGCGAGGTAGCGACCTCACTGTCGGTGCCGGAGCCTCCACGGAGAGTCGGGGTTCACCTGGACTGGGACGAGGGGCTGCTGTCGTTTTACAGCGCCGACTCCATGGCACCATTGCACTCGTTTCACCAAACCTTCACTGAGCCCCTACACCCTGGGCTGGGAGTGGGGTGGGATGATGACTCAGTGAGGACTGTGTATCTGAGTGGTACGTCCTGAGATAGGTGAACGTGAACAGCGCAGAGGGCAGACGCCACGAATAACGGCACTCGCACCCTCGTCACCGTCACGCGCAGTGCCACGCCCGTGACTGGCTGGTGGCTGTCGGTGGCTCGGGGCTGCGTGGCTCCATCACAACGGGAGGGCATAAGCGTAAACAATGCTCACAACCTTCATGGGGGCGGGGTGATAAAATAAGTACCGCTCTGTGTGTGTGAAGCCAACGTGGATGTACTCACCCTGCCAGAGGAGTGTGACTGTAGTGTCGGGGTGCAGTGATTAGCAATGGTGAACTGGGATGTGTTTATACACTGGTGGTGTCATAGAATGTGGGAGAGATGCAACAACAACAATAATAATGTTATTTTTAAAAAGTATAAATCTACGTGTCGGACAGTGGCATTGTAACGCGTGTATAATTGATTCTACAATAAAAATACAGAACACAAACAACAACAATCTAGTTGTGTACAGCGTCATTCGTGCTCACTGCCTCCCGCAAAGCTGTTCATTAATTAAAGACGAGGACCAAATCACCACTGCCAAGCAAATGAAATCTACAAATTAATAAACTAATAGAGAGATTGCTCCAAACACAAAAGGTGCCAACAATGTCCAAGCTGTTCAAGTTATCTGCTACTGCGTCATGGACATGGGGACGTATTACGCACGCTGCCTCGACGCGGTGACGTCACCACGTCTCTACCCCCCCCCCCCACGCCTGCCCTCACCACTGCACTATCTGTGACCACAAAGAGCTTTACAGCTAATCGGATTCCTACTACACTACCAACACAGATTCTGACATTCTGGATTCCCGCCACTGGGGGAGTCCTGCGTTGGCGACAAAAAAAACAAACAGAGGCCCTGAGGGGCAATCTGCAGCCTCGCTGCTGTGACCCAGCACTCTGGGGGGGAGGGTTGGTGGATCACGCACTGACGCTGCTGTGAACTCCCCGCGAGCGCGAGTCGACGAGACAACACGTTGCCCTGGTGCTCACCAGAAGGCGGTAGAGCAGCAACCACCACAACAACAACCACTACAACCACCACAATCACACATGAACTTCACCAAGTGACAGAGACTGGGAACTAAAAATAAAAATCGTTTCCAGGTATATTGTAAACACTCCGGACACAAATCATGGGCAATAATTATTTATGTAGATATATGTATCTATTTACATATTCAGTGTATTTATATTTTTTAGGTCGACATACATATTTATATACTTTTAAAACAGATTTTTATTCATACAGATTTATATATATTAATATGACTATACGCATTCTAGATACATAAATATCAAAACTATTTACATTAACTTATGAGAAATTATTAGTATATTCATATCTTATGAACAAAATACATATATGTATACATATGTAAACATTCATGAAAATTTTGCTCTTTTTAGATATTTATTACGTACGTAGATGTACACATACTTATGTTAATATGTAACAAAATATTTAAAATATATGTGCCAAACCGCAAATATACGTATGTTTCTATACTTATGTAAGAATATGTGTGGTGTGGTAGTGGTAGTAGCTAGATGGTGCCACGTGACGCACCGTGGTGCTGGTAGCGATGACAGTGGTGTGAAATCTTCAAATCGAGATTGAACCGCCTCTACGGGGAGGGTTTTCCCATATCTATTAGTGCTTTTAACAAACAGCGGAACAAGAAGGTGCAACTAATCGAGTCGCTAACCTTCCTCAATAGATGCCGCGATAACAAGGTAAAACCATCGCATTTACACTCACATCTGCTGCTGTCACTTTTCCTAACGCTTAATGGATCGTGTTTTAAAGCCAGCCTATCACTAATCTCGGAAAGAATAAGATTGCTCCGATTTGAACTTGATCATTTAGACAAGACTCTCTACCCAAAGTGCTTGCACAAAGGATAGTCACATCTCATCCTGTGTTCTTGGAATCTTACAATCACATCTAATACTAACAGATAAAATGTCCACTTCTGTTTGGGAACATATAGATAACATGACAGTCGCCTCTGCTAATTAAATGTCAACCAAATGTAAAGTTAATTGGATCGCTAAATTCAACCTCCTGTCAAAAAACA